AATGAAATTTATTAAATTTTCTTAATAGATTTTCTAGTGTGCTTCTTTAAAAAGTCATGCTGTATTTTTTAATATGTTGTTGGATTTTGTTGCTAATATGTAATTTATGATTTTTTTGCATTGATATTCAGATATGAGATTGGTCTATGGGTTTCTTTTGTTGTTAATCTTTTTCATGTGTTATTATCAGTTTGTACTCAATTCATAAAAATATTTTGGTAATTTTTAATCCTTTTTCTGTGTTCTGGAATAGTTTAAGTAGATTAGGCATATTATTATTATGATTATTATAGTCATTATTTAATATTTAAAGGTTTGGTAAAATTCATCTTTGAAACTGTCTGGGCTTGGGAATTAACCATTTTACATTTTCAAATTCATTTGCTAGAAATCTGCTCTAAGTAGTCTCTTATGATTTTTTAGAAATGTCCTCTCTTTATATGTCCTTTCTTTTTTTTCACACATTATTTGTATATATGTAATTTCTCCTTTTATATTATGTTAGCTAGTAGTTTATTTTACTGATTATTTCAAAGGATTTACTTTTTGTTAATTTTATTATTTTTCATTCTGTTAATCAGATTTCTGTTCATTTATTAATTCTTCATTGTTGTAATTGTTTTATTGCTTTATAGTTTAGAGAGGCCTCTTGTTTGCCTTTTTCAATATTTTTCTCTGGGTATTCTTTTGCATGTTATTTCCTGCATAGATACTCTGTGATAAGCTCTTCTAGCTCCAGTGGTGTTAGTGTTGGGAGTAACTCATTAATGTGTGATTTATTTTTATATATTTTAAATTTTGATTTCCTTTTTTTGGTTCTTTTTCTGTTTGACTTAGATGCTGTTCCTATAAGTACTATTTTAGTTATATGTATCATATAAATTTTGATGTGTATTGTTTCTAGTATCATCATTTCTGAGAAATTTTGTAATTCCAATTTTTTTTGATCCAGGAATAATTTAATAGTGTTTCGAATTTTTAAAAATTCCAGATTCCTTTTTGTTTTTTGTTGTTATAAATTTCTAGTTTTATTTCATTTTGGTCATAGAATGTTATTCTTATTTACTCTTTGGAACGTATATAGATATTTTTGTAGCACAATGTTTGGTCAATTTTTTTAGAATTGTCCATGTGACCTAAACATGGAAGGCGCAATTTTATCAGAGAGCAGAATTTGACGTGTTTTCCTAAATTCAGTGTTACTAATTACATTGTTTAGGTCTTCTCTATCCTTGCTTATTTTTGACCATTTGCTCTCTTGGCCTGAGAAAGATGAATATTGCAGTCTGTTGTTTTACCACTTTCTATGTATTCTTCCATCTCCGGGAGTATCTGCTTAATTAAAATTGCTGCCATATATTTTTATTTTTTATTTTTAATATTTATGAAAGTTTAAGCTTTTATTTGTAATTGATTGTTTTAGTCTATACTTTAAAAAGTTTTAGTAAAACTTGATTTTTAGAACAGTTGTAGATATACTGAAAAATTATGAAGATAGTCTAGAGAGTTTCCATACACACCACAACTATTTCTCCCTACTATGAACATCTTACTTTGTATGCTACATTTCTTATGCTTAATGAACTAATATTGGTACATCAGCTATTAATGTTTATACTTATTAACTGAGGTCCATACTTTATTCAGATTTCCTTAGTTTTTATTTAATGTCCTTTTTCTGTTCTAGGATCTGATCCAGGATACCATATTACATTGGTTGTCATGTCCCCTTGGCTCCTCCTGGCTGTGACAATTTCTCAGATTTTTCTTTTTCTTTTGATGACCTTGGCAGTTTTGAGGAGTATTGGGCAGATATTTTGTAGAATGTCCTTCAACTGGGATTTGTCTGATGTTTCTCCTGTGATTAGCCTGGGCTTATGGGTTTTGTGGGGGGAGGACCACACAGGCAAAATGCCATTTTGATCATATATCAAGGGTACATGCTATCAGCATCACTTATCACTCTTGATGATCACCTGGCTGAGGTAGTGTTTGTCAGCTTAATCCACTATGAAGTCACACTTTTTTCCCCACACTTTCCATACATATATAAAGATAGTTTTCACAAGTAGATCTAGGTCCTTGTTTATTTGGGAGAAATGATAAAATAAGATCTGATAACCATTACAGAGCCTGTCACGCGCAGTACTGTCAGATGGGTTACAGCAGGCTGAGATATTGATAACTCTCAAACCTGAGACAGCTGAAGTAATTACAAGATTATGCTGGAGAAAGACTGCAAAGATCAGTGACACAAAACCGAGCATCCAGCAGTAAACCTACACATAGCAAATTTAATAAAAGCTCTTGGGTTAATCCAACAGAAGGCTGCATCCCTATCTTTTCCCACTGAAATATATCCTAGCATTTTTGTTATTTTTTTTTAAGTCATATGTAATATGATCTACTTGTGAAAACTACTGTATCCAATACATTCCTCTTTGTATTATTTCTGAATAATTTCCTTCTATTGCTTTTATTAGAATTGATACAATAAATCACATTTCAAGCCACAGAAAGCCATGGATGAATCTTAAATGCATATTACTAAGTAAAACAATCCAGTCTGAAAAGGATAGATACTTTATGATTCCAAGTATATGCCAATCTGGAAAGGCAAAACCATAGTAATGGGAAAAAGATTAGTAGTTGCCAAGGGTTCAGACAGAAAGGAGGAGGGTTAAATAGATGGGAGCATAGGAGATTTTTTTTTAGGGTGGTAAAACTATTGTACATGACAGTTTAGTTGTGGACACATGAGACTATGTATTTGTCAAAATCCGTTGAACTTTACAACACAAAGAGTGAACTTTAACATATACAAATTTATAAAAATCGTTTAAGAGGTCAAAAGGTTTCAGATTGAAATGCAGAATGTGATAAAAGGATCTAAGTGTAATTAATACAAATGTATGAAACAATCTTACTAAAGAGGGTGGGGAAAGGGTGCTGACCTAAGTAACTCTGCAAATGAGTGCAGTCTGCAAGCCTGAAGGCAAAAGGAACTGTACATAATCACTGTATTCTGGATGATAAAGTTATTTCCCATTCTGTAATTAAAGAAACCAGGGCCCCTTGGAGAAATGGTTGATTCTAGGACTAGGGCAGGAAATATACAGGATGAACCTGGAGTATCTCACGGTGCCAGAAAATAAGGAAGTGATCAAAACAAACAAAAACATCCACAATGAGAGAAGTGTGTCAAAGGGACACAGGAAACAACTGAAAGAGTTCCAGGTAGCCAAAGCTGGAATAATCTGAGCAACAAAATAAAGTAGCATTGGATTATAACCCAAAGTATAAAATATATATCCTTGCATCCACACTGAAAGACAAATGATTGATGGGGCCTGCCCCATGGCGTAGTGGTTAATTTCGGCATGCTCCACTTTGGTGGCCTGGGTTTGCGGGTTCACATCCCAGGCACAGACCTACACCGCTCCACCACTCGTCAGCCATGCTGTGGCAGTGACCCACATACAAAATTGAGGAGGATTGGCACAGATGTTAGCTCAGAACTAATTTTCCTCAAGCAAAAAAGGAGGAAGATTGGCAACAGATGATAGTTCAGGGTAAATCTTCCTCAACCAAAAAAAAAAAAAAATAGTGAATAAATTAATATAGGAGAAGAGACAAGTCTTGAGTGCAGAAGAATTCGAAGTAATTTATGTAGATACTCCACCCTCAAAGAGGTGGCACATAACACCCCACTTCTGAAGTGTGGGGTGTGCATAGTGACGTCCTTCCAGAGAGTATAATATGGAAAGTGTGGAGAAATAAGAGTGACTTCATAGTGGATTAAGCTGACAAACACTACCTCAGCCAGGTGATCATCAAGAGTGGTAAGTGATGCTGGTAGCATGTACCCTTGATGTGATGTGATCAAAATGGCATTTTGCCTGTGTGGTCCTCTGCCACAAAACCCATAAGCCCAGGCTAATCATAGGAGAAACATCAGACAAATCCCAGTTGAAGGACATTCTACAAAATATCTGCCCAATACTCCTCAAAACTGCCAAGGTCATCCAAAAAAGAAAAAGAAAAATCTGAGAAATTGTCACAGCCAGGAGAGGCCAAGGGGGCATGACAACTAAATATAATATGGTATCCTTGATGACCATGAACCAGTTAAAGAATCTTCAAGGTTGATGCTTTGGGTGCCTTACTTATCTCCTCAATCAGGAAATAATAAATCTGGATCTGATATCAAAGAAATGAAAATAGAATTAGCTGAGGCCATTGTTAAAATGCAAATTCCTGGATACTATACCAGATTTGGTGGGAAAGGGCTGGGAATATATTTTTAACAAGCATTTTTGTTCGTTAATATTATCAAATGAGTTTAGAGAATATGGATTTACTATAATACTCAGCCTTTGAATGTGGTTTTAAAAAAGATTTTAATCAAATCTTAAAGATAATCATTTTTGCTTTGAAGGTATTCAAAAGAATATCCTATAGACCCAAAGATTGCTTTAAAAAATAAGTTTAATAAAATAGTTTGAGCTGTAAAAAAGAACTAAATATAACTTCCAAATATTACTCTAGTGAATACTGAGAATTACTGTTTTGGACAAAATATCCTATAACCTAAGTATATTTTTTAAATGTGTTTAAGATATTTATTGATAAATTCAGTATGGTAGTTATATTGTATTTATGACTTGGAAAAAAATAAAGGCTAGTTTTTTTCCTCTTAATCTGAAAACTCTCCTTCCCTGGTACCACTTGCTTCAATTGTGTTTATATTCATTTACCTGAAAATTTGTTAATTTTGATTCTTAAAGTAATATTTCTCAGTTTTGGTGTATATTTTCTAAATTTTGACATGATATTTCATAAATTTTCTTTAGTAATATATGTATTTTAAAGTAGTTTAAATATAATCAAAGCAAATGGAAGAAGTAAGGAAGGTTATCTTAGGCAAGTATAATTTGTAAGATATTTAAATTATTAGCTAAATTTCTATAAATTCACAATTTTATTTTTTTTCCCTAAAGATACTTGCTTAACAACAAGGAATAGAACCAGTTGTACCTCTTCAAGTTCTTCACTTTCTAGCTACTTGTATGTCTTCATCTTGGGACAACTATTGTTGGGTACAGGAGGAACTCCTCTGTATACCCTGGGAACAGCCTTTATTGATGATTCTGTGCCCACACACAAGTCTTCTCTCTATATAGGTAAGTTTGCTTTCTAAGGTAAATGTCTCAGTATTATTTCATCTTATTGCTTGTAAGTAAAGCATAACATATGCTTATTAAAAAGTTAGTTGTTAAGAAAACCTGAGGGGGGGTCCAAGATGGTGGCATAGGAAGACCCTAAACTCAGCTCCTCGAATGGACACACTGAATCTACACCTACATATAGAGCAGTTCCTCCTGAAGAAGAACTGAGGGCTGATTGAACAGCTTCTGCACAACAAATGATAGAGATGGGTAGGAGAGAGGGAGAACGCAGTGTGACACCTCGCACTGTTGCACCTGCAACAGGGAGGGGTATCACTGAGGGGCCCCAGTGCAGGCTTGCACGCCCTGGAGCACAGCAAAAAAACAGCGGTTTAAAGGGCACCTAGACTATATGGGAAGGAAATCCATTTACTAACCCAAAGAAGATGTACAGATGGCCAACAGGCACATGAAAAGATGCTCAGCATCACTGATCATCAGGGAAATGCAAATCAAAACCACAATGAAATACCACCTCACACCTGTCAGATGGCTATTATCAAAAAGATAAAAAATAAGTGTTGGCAAAGATGTGGAGAAAAGGGAACACTTGTACCCTATTGGTGGGAATGTAAATTGGTGCAGCCACTATGGAAAACAGTATGCAGGCTCCTCAAAAATTAAAAGTAGAAGTACTATACGAACCAGCAATTCTACTTCTGGGTGTTTATCTGAAGAAAGTAAAAATGCTAATTTGAAGAGATATATGCACCCCTATGTTCACTGCAGCATTATTTACAATAGTTAAGATATGGAAGCAACGTAAGTGTCCATTTAGAGATGAATGGATAAAGAAAATGTGGTATATATACACGATGGAATATTACTCTACCATAAAAAAGAATGAAATCTTGCTATTTGTGACAACATGGATGGACCAAGAGGGTATTATGCTAAGTGGAATAAGTCAGGCAGAGAAAGATAAATACCGTATGATTTCACTTGTATGTGGAAACTAAAAAGCAAAACAAATGAATAAACAAAACAAAACAGAAACAGACTCTTAGGAAACGAACTGGTGGTTACCAGAGGAGGGAGGAGTTGGGCGAAATAGGTGAAGGGGACAAACTTCCACTTATAATAAGTCAGGGGTGTAATGTACAGCATAGGGAATATAGTCAATAATATTGTAATAACTTTGTATGGTGACAGATTGTAACCAGACTTATCATTGTGATCATTTTGTAATGTATATAAATATCAAATCACTATGATGTACACCTGAAACTAACAGGACGTTATATGTCAATTATACTTTAAAAATAAGTTAGTTGTAATTTCATAGGTTATTCCATTAGATAAATGCAATATTACTTTTTTTGTTTATCTACTGACATCATGTCCTTCAGTTAAATGCGGTTATGACTTTTGTTGACATCCTGCTCTATTTCATGTTCTGGGCATGCCAGCCTTCCTTGAAGAGCCATCCAAGCAGTAGACTGTCTCGATTGTTTGAATTCCAGGCTGATTTATGTAGGGTGTGGAGATTGAGCTCTGCCCTTCTACGTGACTTACTACATCCTACCTGGACTTGACTAGAGTCAACAAAAGAAACTGCAAAATAGTACTCAGAAACTCTGTGGAGTTTTCCATTTCATATTAACTCTTTTTATATGTGACTCAGTTTTTTTTGTTTGTGATCTAATTCTTAGCAGCATAAGTTTCTCTTAAATTCCTTTCCTGATGTTCCTGCAAGGTAGAGCTAATTAGACTATGCATGGCCCTATATCCAATTAATGCATAGTTTATGTGCACATAAGTTTTCACTTTGTCAGTCTATTATTCTTATGTAGGGGACTGTCTTAGTCCATTTGGGCTGCCATAACAGAATACCATAGACTGGTTGGCTTATAAACAACAGAAATTTATTTTCTACAGTCCTGGAGGCTGGGAAGTCCAAGATCAGGGTGCCCACAGATTTAATATCTGTTGAGGGCCTGCTTCCTGGTTCATAGACAGCCATCTTTTTGCTCTGTTCTCAAATGCTAGCAGGGATGAGGGAGCTTTCTGAGGCCTCTTCTTATAAGGGTACTAATCCCATTTATGAAGGCTCTACTCTCATGATCTAATCACTTCCAAAGGCTCCACTGTCGTGACCTAATCACTTCCAGAGGCTTCGCATCCACGTACTAACACATGGGGGATTAGATTTCAACATCAATTTTGTGGGGGACACAAACATTCAATCTATAGCAAGGACCTATTGCCATAGTCACTGGAAATCAAGTGTGTTCATTGCAGACCTGACAGAGTATTAAATCGACTTAGGCTCATCCCAATATGGAAACCACTACACTTAATACTTGTTCTCTCTACTTATTTTACCTTGGTTTCTGCACAAGATCTGATGCTCTCTGTCTCTCCACGTTCTGGCTGATCTGTACAACTTACTATGTATTTACTAATTTAACAATTAGCTAATAGTGACGCTTTTCACTCTTCAAGTTCAACAAATTTCCTTTCTTTCTTTCTTTCTTTCTTTCTTTCTTTCTTTCTTTCTTTCTTTCTTTCTTTCTTTCTTTCTTTCTTTCTTTCTTTATTTTTGTGAGGAAGATCAGCCCTGAGCTAACATCCGTGCTAATCCTCCTCTTTTTGCTGAGGAAGACCGGCTCTGAGCTAACATCTAT